AATACACAAATATGTTCCATATGAGAACAAACTCTCTCAGACTGACACAGCTTTCGCCTTGGCATGCACAGTATGAGGCATGTGTGTTAGGGCAGGGTGAGTCACGTCCGTGTAAGAAAAGGAAGAGTAGCCATGAAGTAGAAGCTAAATCTTCCTAAATGTGTGAAGGATGTAATGGTGAAAGTGATACTTGCAGGCTAGAAGAGCCTGTGGCCTAGAGCACAGGCCTGGAAATGAACGTGGCAGTGTGACCTCAGCCAAGTCTCTTAAGCTCTTAGACTTCTGCCTTTTGATATTTTCATTTCAAACGTATGAGGTATCTGCTTCACAGAGTTCCTCTGAGACAAATCATAAGATCATTCATGTGTAAGTCTCAGAGCTGTGTGTCTTGTTTCCAGTGAGTGCCAACTGCCTTTGTGTTGTGATCTCCTACAGTGTGCAGGGCTGACTGTGACTACAGTGGATTACGGTAGACTCGGTGAAGGCACCTCCCCTAGAGAGTTCCACATTCAAGGTCAAGGTCCTGATAAGCCACCTGCTGGGTGAGGTGATTGAGGTCTTCTGTTCAAAACTCATTAGGAGCCCAGAGTCTTTGGTCTTTGTCACTGCAGGTGTCCTTGTCCTTTCAGAACTGTCTGAATTGGTCTTGGCTCCCGAGGGAGACCCTGACAATAGCAAAATTTTCAAGCAGATGGTTGGGTCAGACCTTCAGAGGAGATGCCCCTGAGTTATCTGAAAGTCGACTGACTAAGCTCTGACCAAGTGGTATCTCCAAGTTGTCCTGTGATGTGGATGTTGGGACTTTAGGCATGACCCAGGGTCTGATATCCACCTAGTGAGTCATGTTCCTGCAAAGAGGAAGTCAAAGCAAGACCTGTCTGAGAGAACAAAGTTCTCAGACATAATTCTATCCTTGGTGTAGTTTGCTCTGAATCATTTGGGGAAAGGCTTCAACTCGCTGTTCCATTTGCCTGTTTGGAGACTGCTTAGGGGTTGTTACTGGAGGAGTGGGGCTGTCAGAAAGTGGGCTGTGAAAGGAGATATCCAGGTGTTTAAAGTTCTGACTGAGAAAGCACAGATTGCAGGATGACACACCCTGTCCCGGTATTAATCCTCGACTCTCGTAGCTCTCAAAGGAGGACACCCTCATTGCCTGGTGACCGGGACCAGAAGTCAAGGCAGACACCTGACCCCAACCAATCAGTCTCCAGATTCCATGCTTCTTACAACTTCATAGTGTGGAGATTGTCCTCAAATATGTCATGACACTCCTTACAAAGATGTAGCAAGTGGTTCTGTTTCTCACAAAAAACAGTCCTGTGAGAGGTAATACTACATGCAAATGACAAATAGGTGATTTTTTGATCACCATCTGTTTTAACTCCCTGACAATAAGAAATTTTATTAATGTTGATTCTTTTTCTGTCATTCAATTTGTATTTATTTGCAAGATTCAAGAGTTCAAAAAGGGAAACATGTCAGTTCAGTGAAAGAGGACATATTCCAACTGTTTCTCAACCATTTATTGGAACAAAAATATTATGGCATTTAACAGAGAAATAACCCCGTCTATAAACTAAAATAAATGAATTGCTGTACTATGCATTAAGATTAGGCTTTAAATCTCAAATTAGTGAATGGTTATATTTATGAGAGTAATATTTATTCTGAAAGCTTATAGATGAGAACAGATTAATAGGCTTTCCATGCTAGACAATGATGAATGCTGTAGAATTCAACAAACATCTGTTGAGATCTTAATATATGTGAGCTATGGTATGAGGCACTCTGGGAGATTAAAAAAGTAACAAGAGCTCTACTGCACAGGATTTTATGTTTTAGTAGAGGCAACAACACCAATAAATAAAGCATAGATAAAACAGTCCATCAAGTAGTGATAAATAAGAACAGGAAGTCCAAAAGGAGGAGGCCCCTATCTGGAGTCAAGGATGATTCCCTGAAGGAGGTCTGCCATGGCAGACCCATTCTCCTTGCTTGGGGAGTTCCTAGCATCCTATTTAAGAAGTCTGACTCAGCATCTGTAAGGGAATGAGAGAGCTGGACCATCTCCCCGTGATGGCGAGAAGCCGAGGAAGAGCCTGGAAGGAGCCCACGACCAGACTTTGTTAAGCAAATTCCTGCTGCTTATTGTCTGTGCCCCAGGCCTGTGGCAGGTGGGGAGCAGCGCGTGCAGGACACAGATCCAGAGATCTGGGCAAAGTGCACAGTGGCCAGGGTGTGGGGAGGGAGTGGTAGATAAGCCTGAGAGAGCTGGCATAGCTTGTGAAGATCCTGGATGGGGGGAATTTGAGACCTGGGACCCAAGGCCTCCCTCAGGGCTGTTGTATCAAGAAACTGTAGGTTGATGACTGGTCATGCGGATTTTGCTCATGTTTAAAAGGTAAACTGAAGAGTACACGTCCCTCAGTATTCATGAGGGTCCCTTTGATGTCTAGGGCATCTACACATACCAGATCCAGGCCCTTAGGTAAAAGGGTGTGACACTGCATGTAAACCACCCACCTTTTCCTGTACACCCTAATCAGTTGATATTACCTAAATGCATAGTCGGTTTTAATTTAAAAATAATTAACTTTTAAGTTTAGCTCCAGCTAATTTCCTTTCCCCTTCCTGTTGGTCTTCTTGACTCTATTATTTTGCTCTATTGCCTACATCCTTTGACATCTCTTCCTTTCCTCCCTTGCCTTTCTCATTTCACGACTTGCACGCAAAAATACATGAGCATATACATATCTCCATAGTTGTTTTTTGTTTCATTTTGTTCTTTTGAGACAGGGTTTCTCTGTGTATCCTTGGCTGTCCTGGAACTCTCTCTGAATACCAGGCTGGCCTTGAACTCACAGAGATCTGCCTGCCTCTGCCTCCCCAGTACTGGGACTAAAGGAGTCATCACCACCGTCCAGTATATTTTTAAGACTAGGTTTTCCATATAAGAGAAAACGTGCAGCATTTGACTTCCAAGTCTGCTGTACTTGGCTTGACATAATGATTTCTAGTCACCCATTCATGGCAATCTTATTTTTCAGTACCACACTTTCCTTCTGGGATATCTCACCAACCTGAATGCCTCATTCGTTGTAGACAACACAGGAATCATTGTCATATTGTCCTGCTTTGGAAGTGATAAGAAATCAACTTCCTTATGTGTTTAGTGCCCCCATCTACCTCCAATATTTTTTATCTGTGGCTAGTTAGTTGAACCTGTAGATTAGGAATTTGTGGATATGTGTGGCTGCTTGTATTTCCTCTCACACTATTCTAGAATATGGAAGACCCATAATTTGTTTCAATGTTTCCCCAAATCAAATAAGCAGTCCTCAATAGTTAAAAAAATGTCTTTTTTTTTTTTGGTTTTTCGAGACAGGGTTTCTCTGTATTGTTTTGGAGGTTGTCCTGGAACTAGCTCTGTAGACCAGGCTGGCCTCGAACTCACAGAGATTCACCTGCCTCTGCCTCCCGAGTGCTGGGATTAAAGGCGTGCACCACCAACGCCTGGCAAAAAAAACATGTCTTGTTTGTATTTAATTATAATGAGTTTAATCTAAAATATTTGGCATGTCTACCAAACTTATTCTGTTACAAAACTAAATTTTAAATAGTCAAGGAACTAATGAATCTAAGAGTCCAGTAGGACTATAATACTAGCTTTTTCTAAGAGTGGGTTGTTTAATTTAGATGGTGTGTGGAAACTGTACACTATAAATGTCTCCACCTATGTGGCTATGCCTGTGTCTATCTTTGTCACTGTCACATCATGTCAATGTAGAAGAAGGAACGGGAAGAAGTTTTGGAGTTAGGAGTTCACCTGCCTTGTGAGATGCCCACCCAGGCCACCTCTTACCCAAGGGGCTTTAGGCAAATTGTTCAACTTTGAGTTGGACAATCCCATGACAGCTCAGCAATCCCTTGTTATCCCTTACTTTATGCCTGCTATTATATAACCACTAGGAATTTTCCTCATGAGGAAACTGGGGGACAGAGCAGTGAAACTGTTTGCTTATGGTTGAAATAGAGCAGCAACTTGGGCAGCCTGGCTCTGTCACCATCTATCCCACTCCATGCTGACTTCCAGGCTTTCCAACCACGAGGTCAGAAGGTGATGACACAAGCTGCTTTTATCTCCCAGGGCTTTTGTGAGGCTAAACTGGAATAGCATGTTTCTCTTCTCCAGGGCATTTAAGTTTTATAACGATTAAAACTTTTCTATGCTGTTGATATTAGTAATATATGTTCAGTGTAGAAAACCTTAAAAAAAAGGACAGGATGAACTAACCCGGCATTATCCATAATTCCCAGGTATTATGATAATCTGACTTGGAACTTCAGTGAAATGAATGCATGTTGGTTCCTTGTTTGTTCTTTTAAATTTTATTTATTTTGACTTTGATATTATAATAGGCAGCCGTGCTCCCTTGCAGGCCAAGTGGGAATTTTATTTACATACTGGAATCAGCTAGTCATGACACATGACAGGGTGGGGAAATAGTATGCATTCTTTCGGAGCAATCCAAAGCCCAGGCTGTAATAATATTCAGAAGACCAAAGAGGCAGCTGGCAAGGTCTCCGAGGGTTGTCAACAGTCTTGGCTTCCCTGCACTTGAGGAATCTCATGCATTTGCAGCATTGAACCATGGAAATTCTCTGACCTAGCTATCCTGACATCTCCTCATCTGTGGGAAAGAATGAAAATCATAAAGCAAACACAGAGCAAAAATGAGTGAGGGAGATAATGTTATGCCAATGATATAAGACACTCAAATGAAGTGAGACAATTACAGAAATGAAATTACTGCACCCATTTGGAGACATTGACTGGCCCATTGCTATCGATGGAGATAGAGAAGCTTCTGGAAGATTGGCAGTTCCACACTGGGAAGAGTTGGCCTCTAAGGATCCTATCATCCAAAGATTCTGACTGTTGGAAAGATGTGATTTAACAGTTTGATATCTAATCCCCTTTATCTCTGGTTCACTCACAGGAGTCCAAGTGAAGATAGCAAGATGGCCTCCACCTGGCTTCGCTCTCTGTGTCTTCTCACACTTTATTTGGTAAGCACGAAGGGAGTTTGTAGATTTTCTGACATCTTTCTACTCCATACCATGGAAAGAATGACTGTCATCACTTTTTTTTTCTTTTAAGGTAGCCTATCAAAATTAAGTCGTCATAGAGAATGGATATGCTGTGTTCTCATGTGTTGTATCTAAGGAAGTGACTACAAGCCCCACGGTTGCCCATCAGCTGAAGGGGACGCATTATCCTTAGTTCAAAGGAGGCAATAAACCATGTAATGGGCAAGGCTTAGCTAGATGTTTGTGGTTTATTTTTATGATACTGAGGCCCAAGCCAGGCCCTTGTACACAGACAAGTGTTATACCACTGAGCTACAGCCCTGAGTTTAAACTTTACCTACCCTTCACCTGCAGCCTCGGGCTGAAGAGAAGAATTGCAGTGATGTCTATTAGTCTCTGTCACTTAATCTTAACTTCAAAGAAACCATGAAAGCCAGCCACAAAAGCACAAGAAATGATTTTTTCCCTGTTTTTACCTTTGTATACTCTGCATTTTTATTTTCATAAGTGGCTCGGAGGTTCCTAATTAAATTTGTCTGTGTTGTTGCTACTGTCTGTCAGGCCTTGAGCATGGAACTGAAAAGAAACTGGGCTTTAGCTGCTGAGCTTTGCTCCACAGCGGGTACCATCCCTGCTTTACTCACAAGGCCCCTGAGGTGCAGAAGGCTGCCCAAAGTGTCACTGTCTGAGGAACCAAGATTTCAGAAGTAGTTTTGATTTTTTCCACAAAAGCAAGTGTTTAGATTGTTTCACCTAAAATCTTCTTTTTTCTAGTATTTCAAACCAATACACCAAATTTTAAGTCCTCAAAAGCCTCATGGGGTCTGTATAGCTTAATTTTAAATGTTTTTATTCCCATACATTGCACAGAATAATACATACATTTTAATATGTGTACATACTACCTTTCCATCACTTCCCCATGCCTAATTTTTTCTTTTACATTGTGAAATAGAACCAAACCAAGCTTTCCAGACTCTCCTTCAAGGTTAGGTGGGGACTGCTGTTCAGTTCCTAGAACTTTCACAGCCTGGGGGCTGTATGAGGACCATACCAACCATCCTCATTTGACCCTTATTCTTCCTAGCTTTTCAAACATCCTTTTCTACCTATATTATCATGACAGTAAAGTCTGAGCCAGGTTCAAATTTGAGGCTGCCACTTGCCCATGATAGGAAATGGACTGAGTCACTTTAGACTTTAAACCTCAGTTTTCTGTCCTTTGGGATGGGTTTAATCTTAGCATTTGACTTATAGGAGCTTTTGGATCAAGGAAGAGCACAGCCTAAGCCCGGAATAGATAAGAGCCATGAGTACCACGACATTTCAAATGTCCAGCATCTATAACTACATGGACCCTGACCTCCATGGTGAAGGTGGTTATTTTAGCTGGCTTTGCAGCCTCAGCACCTAGCACAGAGCTAGGAGGTGGGGTAGCAATGGATTGCAGGGTTTATGAATTAGGAGTAGCGTTGAGATCTGAGAGAGAATGTCACTTGGTTGCAATACTTTGTGATGGTGCCTCTGGATGAAGGCTGATTCGTCTTCTTGCCACTCCCACCACGCCGTCCATCTCAGCTCCGGCGGTGTGGTTGGGTGACTCACAGTGCACACATTCAATTTGAAATCTTTATAGCCCCAATAGTCCTATTAATGGGAGGGAAGGCAGATTTGCTGCTCCGATATGAGGATGCAACTTTGAACCCTGGAACTGCCTCTCCTTCCCTGCAGTGTGCTGGCTCATCTGTGTGCGGAGAGTGAAACCTTGCTTGTGAGGTCTGTGGCCTGATGAGGTTTCCACTGGTGAGGGTAATTGCAAGGCTGATTGCTTGCTGGGTGGTCTCAGAGTCAAGCCTTGGAGCGTGGGGCAGAGCCGCAGAAAAATGCTGCCCTTGTCTTAGCCCCCGCTATAGTGACACTGGACACCTATGTCCTCCTGCCTCACCTCTCATAAGTAATGGAGCTGGAGAAGCCTCGAGAAGGAGGAAGGAAAGAGTCACAATGGAAGGCAATCTCAGAGAGGAGGAGGCAGCTAAAAGTCTAGAAAATTATTGTGGAAGTTAAAAATGCTTTCAGCTGCAAATAACAGGAAATTGGGTTTTGGAGCAACTTATATAAATGGAGGGTTATTTCTCATGGGTAACAGGAAGTCCAAGAACGAATTCAGGGCAGGGTCAACCATACCATTGGAGGCAGGAATGCTTTTCTCTTCGGACCACTATCGTTTTAGCTGGTTCATCTCCCCACAGCTCAGGGTGACTGCTCCAGTTGCAGATACAAAGCCAATCGCCTCTCGGAGAACCACAAGGAAGGGTGAAAATGCCAGTGTCACACCTGTCCTTTCCCATCAGGAAACAAAGGCCTGGCCTCTTCATCTCCCTCCCCACCTCCCCATTCCTGTCATAAACAAGAAGTATGTGACTCAGTTTCCGTCTGCAAGGGAGCAAGGGAGGGAACCCTTAACTTTCCTACCTCTGTGTGGGAGGCAGCAGAGAGACCGGCAGAGGCCGGAAGCCACACTGAGGGAGTGAAGGCCGAATGGAACGCCTTCTGTTTGCGTTTGCTGTTGTCTCTATCAGACAAGCAGTGTCAGTCAAGATCCCGTGCTGAGATGCAGTTTAGGACGTTCCCTGTCCCTTGGCCTCTGGCTGTTTGGATTATCCCCAGGCGGGAGTAGCTTGGTGCCAAGAATGCACTGGTTCTCCCCGAAGAAGGGGAAACAAAGTTTGGCATTAGAGAGTCTGACTCTACCTTGACCCAGCTTGCCCTGCCACACTCTGGAGGAAGGAGAACACGCCAGCAGCCCGAATATGGCACTGAACTCTGGTGTTGGGTGTGAGGCTGGATGCCTCTGCACCCGCTCTATGCTGCCCCATCTCCCTTCAGGAGCTGTAGTAAGGGACAGTAGTGATGGCAGCCATTGGCTGTGGACTAATCTCAGTGGGAGCCACACCTTCAGGCACCTCCCTACTCCAGCCACCTTCCCTTCCAACACTTTTTCACCTCCTGTGGGCAATGATGCCTACGGGTTGAGAAGGCTGGTTCCGGAGTTGCAAGTTCAAATCTGGCTTCTAGTTAGTCTGTGAACAAATAACTTTTCAGCACTTTGGTCTCAACAGGACTCACTGCACTATGCTTCCCCAGTAGGTAGGGTCATTGTCAGGATTAAATGTGTTTAGGACAAACTCCCATGAATACTAGCTTAGCAACTGTAAACTTTCCTTATCAGCCTGGCCCGGATTCCAGTGACCCCGGAGGCTGCTTAGATTTTTCTTTTAAGGTCTTTGGACTTTAGAGCCATGTAGGATCCCTGCTTGAAGTAAACACTTCATGATTTTATTATTTTTAAATGAACATAACATGCTATCAAATGTGAGCTTGCTTTAAGCTTTTCTTAATGCTGCAAGTTCCACTTTGACTAGAATTTACCATGCGACTGTGTGCTAAGGAACCATTACGCTAAGCTATCTACGTACCCCCCTAACACCTAAATGCACCTGTCCTTGAGGTGGCTGTAAACTTCATTCAAGATGCTGGGAATGGGGCACAATGTTGTCAGAGGATATTAGAAATGATTCCAAAAAGCTGATATAACCATGAATGATGTAGAAGGCAGAGTGTCTCCGGGAGGCCGCACATTTGTTAAGTTAGGTCAAAGCAATAGGTCCCTGCCTCTCACACCCATGTTTCACTGGGGTTTCATTCTTGGAGGTTTCCTTTGTAACACGGGAGTTGCGATTCTTCCCATGGGATGGCAGCTCTCATGGGTAAACGAGAAACAGCGATGTGAGGCTCATGGCAGTCAATGATGACAGGTAGGAGAGTCCCTTAATGAAACCAGACCGCTTTTTTTTAGCTCCACACATTGTTTCTGAAAGTCAAATAAAACCATGAGTGACATGCATACACTCACTTCAAGTGCTCATTTCTCTTTCTTTACCAACAGACATGTGGGTATGGCCAAGATGGGAAGTTCAGCGGTCCCCTGAAGCCCATGACGTTCTCTATTTTTGAAGGCCAAGAGCCCAGTCAAGTCATATTCCAGGTAAAGACGACTTTGATCTTGGCCATCTTGACTTCTGCAGTGGACCTTTGTTCCCAACTCTGCTGGACATTGGGCACTGACACAGACCTGGCAGTTCTTATCATCTGTGACTTTGGGAGCTGAGCTGCAGAGCTGGGTGGATGTAGACGGGGTTTCTCTGTGGCTTTGGAGCCTGTCCTGGAACTCCTTCTTGTAGACCAGACTGGTCTCGAACTCACAGAGATCCTTCTGCCTCTGCCTCCTGAGTGCTGGGATTAACGGTGTGGGCCACCAATGCCAGGCTGCTTCCTTAATTGTACCTGTGGCCAGTTCCTCTCACAGGGAGTTGGCGCTATGGGTTCTGCCTCTGCCGTGGGTTTAAAAAGTACTGATTTAGGAGCAGTGCTGGCCTCTTAACCATTAGGATATCTGCTCATCGTGACGGTTTTGTTTCATTTCCCGTTGCTGTGACAAATACCTTGACAAAGTCAACCCGAGGCAGAAAGGGTTTGTTTGGGTTCACAGTGCCAGAGAGGACATAGCCGCTCATGTCAGGGTAGACACAGCACAAGGATTGGGAGAATCCCATCACGTCACTCTGTAAGCAGGGAGGAAACAGGAAGTGGGCTCAGGCTCTCAAACTTCAAAGCCTCACTCTAGTGACCCAGTAACTTACTTCCTCCAGTGAGTTCTACTTTCTAAAAGTCCCATATACTTCCGAAACAGGACCACCATCATGTATTTGATACATGAGCCCATGGGCAGCATTTCACATACAAATAACAATGACCAACTATTGAGGGGGCGGCAAATGACTTAGAGGAGAACAGATTTTGACTCATGGTTTCAATCCGTGGTAACTTGGCTCCCTTTTTCTGGACCTGTGGCAAGGTAGGGCTGGTGGAGAGAAGCTGCTTGGCCTGTGGTGGCAGGAGGCAGAGACAGCAGGAAGGGTCCAGATAAGCTATGTACTCTAGAGGTACTCGCCCAATGTGACCCGTCCCTCTCGGTCCCCACTTCCTAAGCCCATTCAGCAAATGAACTCGTTAATGAGTTAGTTTACTAATGACGTTCACGCCCTTACAATGCAATCCTCTCAATAGCATCACCAGGCCTTTGACACATGAGCCTTTGGGGGCAGGTGATTCATAGTCAAGCCGTAATCCTGGGAGGTGATTAGGTGCCCATGAAAAGCAGCAGGGCTGGGGAGACAGCCACAGAAGCATGAGGACCCGAGTTTGGATCCTCAACACCCACATGTATAAAAAGCCAGACAAAGTGGCTCATACCTATAATGCCATCACTGGAGACGAGGAGGTAGGACAATCCCAGAGGTTTGCTAGTGTTGTCAAGTTAGTGAGTTCTACGTTCAGTGAGAGACTGTCCCAAGGCAGAAAGGCAGAGAGCAACGGACCCAGTGTTCTGCACTAGATTTCCTGTGTGTGCAGGGACATGTACACCATGCACACTCATGTACATGTACCACATACAACATACATCATTGAAACAATGTGAATTAGAGATATTCCTGATGTTGAACTCTTAACACCTCCCCACGAGAACATGCACACAAAACCATATACACATGCATACACCACACATGCACACAGCATTGAGGGTTAGCCTGAAGATGGAGTGAGGCACCTCAGCTCCCAGGCCACTGAATGCCCTGGGAATGCACCAGAAGGTCCAGGCAGAGCATTTTCTCTAGAGACTGAAAATACTCTTCTGTCTTCTCTTCCCACTGTAACCTGGGACAAACAGCAGTGACCTTGGGTGAGGATAGTCTGGCTCTGTGTTGTTCTCAAGGACACAGTGTTTTTACTCTCGAGCTGTTTTGCTCTCCTTCTGCCTCCTTGTAACAGAGTCAAGGAGGACAGCTCATTTCCTACAAGTCTTAGAGAACACTTGAAATAAGCATGCTGGAATCTGGGACAGGAGCCCTCCTTGTTCCCAGAATCCATGTTCAACAAGCTTAAACAGCATATGACAATTCACCAGTATCCTATACATCACAAAAGGGCTTGACTTACGTTTCTGGTCAGAAAGATCTTCGTCTGGCTGCAAGCAGGGGAAATGCAGACTAGGTGTCTCTAGTCCACAAGTCTTCCCCATTTTCTCTCCTGCCTGGGGGGGCACATTAGAGTCCCCCTAACGTTCTTCACTCATTTCCTATGCATACAATACTCTACAATCTGGTAAGACATTTACACACTAGACATTTTGCTCATTTTTTTCAGGTGAACCTAAGTTAGAAGAGGAACTAAAAGCAAACCCATGCATGGAAGATTCTGATGAGAGGCTGGCAGTCAGAGGGCAGGAGAAGAAAGAGTGATGAGTTTTCCTTAGTTTTGAAATTGACAAATAGCACTTTTATATTTTTTCATGCACAAATATATACATACATATATATACACACATTGAATTGATTACCATATGTATCAGCTCAAATATAATTTTTGTGATTAAAAACCATAAAAGCAAAATTGATTTTTTTTCAAGGAAGATGGTCGTGGATGAACAGGCAGGTTTCAGCATCCCTGAACTGAGGGAGAAGGTATGGAAGGAAGCAGTCACTGGGTCAGCAGGGGGTAGGTGGTAGAGGTGTTTAGCAAGAAGGTGATAGACGGTCCAGAGCTGAGGGTGGAACCCTGTGAGCATCAAATCTGCCGCCTTTTGACTCAGCGTAGACTAGGTTGGCCCTTCATTCTGTGTTCACTGGTAGGTACCCCTGGTGGCTTTTGGAAAGACATTCCCTACATAAGTTCATCAGTGAGTCTGATGAACACAGAAGGCTGAGGGGACAAGTGGAAGGGTCTTGGGTGACTGAAATAGTCCAGTGGGAAGCATAGGGCACTGCTTAAGTAAAGGCAAAAATGTTGGTGCTTCTTCAAATCCATCCACCGAGACTCTGTTCCCATGGGGTACTATCAATAGTTAGTTTTCCTGAAGCCTTTTTAAATGTTCATTTGTGTGTGAGTATGTACATGATGTGGGACAGGCCTGATGACCCAAGTTGATACCAGGAACCCATGTGAAGGTGGAGGAAAGAGTCAACTCCACAAAGTTACGCTTTGACAACCTGGTGTTGTTGCACGCTTATCTCCCCCCCACACACACAAATAACAAAATTAAAAAACATAATTCAGTGGTTTTCAGGGTGTCACAAAGCTACAGTACTATCACACTGTCAAATTTCAGGGTATTTCACCAGCATCAGGAGAAACCTTATGTCATGAGTAACAATTCTTCTTCAGCCCTTCTCTGCCTCAACTCCTGAAACCATGGATCAGCCTTCAGTCTCTACAGATTCACATATTTGGGGCCTTTCATGGAAACACAACCATGCTACCTATGGCCTCCTGTGCGTGACTTCTCTTCCATACCACAATGTTTTCAATGTATACTGAAGATACAGCATGTGTCTGAACTTCACTCTTTTGAGTGGCTGAATATTGCATGGTTGTTATATCATGTTTTGAATATTCACATATCAGTCAAACTTTTGGATGTTTTTTTACTTGCAACTGTAAAGGACAAGCTGCTATGGACAAACACTCATGTACAATTTTTTTTTGAGAACAACTTTTCTATTCTTTTGGAGAAACATCAAATTCCAGGGTCATCATTTTTTTCCATATATATATGTCTGTCTATCTATCTGTCTATCTGTCTATCTATCTATCTATCTATCTATCTATCTATCTATCTATCTATCCATCCTGATTATGGTCTCCCTTCTCTCTACTCCTCCTAGTTCCTCCCCACCTCCCCTCCCATACATCCACATCCTCTCTGTCTCTCATTAGAAAACAAACAGTTTGGCCAGGAGTTGGTGACCGACCCAAGGCTTTAATCCCATCACTCTGGAGGCAGAGGCAGGCAGATTTCTGTGAGTTCCAGGCCAACCTGGTCTACATAGTGAGTTCCAGGACAGCCAGGACTACACAGTGAAACCCAGTCTCAAAAAACCAAATAGATATAACAATAAGACAAAATAAGATAAAAAATACTAACACATCAGAATTGGAAAAAATAAACAGAAGGAAAAGAGCGCAAAAGAAGGCACAAGAAAGAGTCACACAGTCATTTGCACACTCAGAAATCCCATAAAAACACTAAACTGCATCAGTGGGGTGAAAAGAAGAAAAAAATATATATATATTTGAAAAAAGAAAAAAGAACAGCGCTGACACCACACTTTGAGACAAGGATCCTCCAAAGATGCCATTGAGTCACTTTTCTGTTGGCCATCTTCTGCTGATTTTATGTTTAACTTTTTGATGATCTACAAAATTTCTCATGGGCAAGTGAGTCCTTTTACATTTCTGTTAGCATTGTCTGTCCACATCTGCTACAGTGCTATAGTCTTTTTTTTTTTTTTTTTTTTTTTTGGTTTTTACGAGACAGGGTTTCTCTGTATTGTTTTGGAGGCTGTCGGTCCAGCCCAGCCTCGAACTCACAGAGATCCACCACCTGCCTCTGCCTCCCGAGTGCTGGGATTAAAGGCGTGCGCCACCACCGCCCGGCTAGTCTTTCTTTTTTATTGTAGTTTCCCAAGTGTTTGTGATTTTGTGATGTCCTGTTCTTTGGAGTTAAGGTTACTTTTCCCACTATGCTGGCTGGCTGGTTTTTGTTTGTTGGCACAAGCTAGGGTCGTCTGGGAAGGAGGAAGTTTAACGGGGTAAATGCCTGCATAGGGTTAGCCTGCAGGCAGGTGTGTAGGGGCACTCTCTTGACTGATGACTGATGTGACCCGGCTCACTGTGGTCACTATCACTCTTGACCCAAAGGTCCTGGATGGTAGAAGAAAGTCTGCTGAGAAAGCCACGGGGCACTCTTCCGTGACTTCTGTCCCCAGGTTCCAGGTTGTAGACGGAAGTTTCCGTCTCACATGGTCCTGCAGCTGTTCAGTCCCAAATAAATACACAGAGGCTTATATTAATTATAAACTGTTAGGCCTATTGCTCAGACTTATTACTAACAACCTCTTACACCTTAAATTAGCCCATAATCCTTAC